CTCTTACTGTTTATGATATCCAAAGACACATTCCTGAAAATTAGTATATAATACTTCACCTACATCTGGTTTTTGTCCATGTGCTAAAAATATTTCTGTATTATTTTTCTATATAACAATTATGTATTCTATTCTGTTCTGTTCTATTTTTTGTTTGAATTGCTTTGGCAACATTAATTATCTTTGAGGCAAATATAATGCAAATGATTGAAAAACAATGTTTTAAAAAATGGGAAGAAAACTATAGGAAAATGGCAGGAAATCAGCCTACTCATAACCACATTCATTAAATGCTCCATTAAAAGAAAGCTAGGGAATGCTGACTTGCTATAAACTGTATTATAGTAACATGAAAGAGTAACATTACGAGAAAAAAAAAAGAATTGGGAAAAACCAAGCAGGATGTCCCCTCTGTCAGAATTTGCTATTTCTATTTGCTACCAGCTGACAAGCACAATCACACAACTGAAACTGATACCAATCTTCTGAATGGAAAAACAGAAGTTTCTTTGCTGCTATGTTTTTAAAATAAAAATTAATTTCCCAACACATAGGTGCAACACTAAGGCAAGCCAAAGGAGAGAGGCACTTTAGGAAACCACCGTCTCCATCATTTTTGAACAAACTCATCTCCCATTACAGCAAACTTTGGAAAAGCAAATTACAACATGTCTGGATTAAGATTTCTTACCTGGACAGGCAGAAGAAAACATTGGCAAAACATGTTCTTCCTGATTCTGCTGGCGGTACCGTTGCACAAATTCCTTCTGGCTCTCCAGAAGACTGAAATCAGCAGCTATTGCGGTGTCAAAGACATAATGCACTCCTAGAGAACAGATAAATTACAGAACTGAATTACTTCTTTTCTCCCAGGCAACACTGGCTTTTAGTATGTGTCCTCTGCCTTCTCCAATTTTCACGTGGAGAAGACTTAAATGGAACCTCTCCATCCACCCATTCAAGAAGCAGTCTGAAAGATAATATACATAGTCACAAGATCAGCTTTCAAAAGTAAAGGGCATGGGCAACTATTGTGGATAAATAAAAGCATTTTTTTCTAAAGTAAGCAAGAGATGCTGTGCTCTGAAGGACAAACTGCGGGAAACATTTCCAAGCTGCCCTAGGACAAAATATACACCATATATTATGCCTTTCGTGCCTAATATTATGTTTTGCCTGACAGCAGCTCTTGAGCAAAAGTTTCCAATATTCTCCTAAGAGCCTTTTAAATGGAGATGTGCTTGTTGCTCTTCTCAGTTTAAATACTGAAGAAAATGGAAATCGTGTTGTAGGGAAGCTGATGCCCATTTTTGGATGCTGAAGCTTTCAACACATCTTCAGTTTCATAACAAGTTCCTCTTTTCCTGTGCCACAACTTTCTAGGATACCAACTTATAGCTGAATCAACAATAGCTTTTGCCTCTTTTCCTTCAAGCAGTATACTAAATATTTTTTAAAGCTGAGGAGACTTTTGATTTATGTAAAAGAATGCCTGTGTATGACATCGTGATCACTTTTGTTCTGGCATTCAAATGATGTCCCTTCCATCCTGAATAGAGCAGGGGTGTCAAACTGACCACGCCCAACCCCAGTCTAGCAAAAGCAGTGGGCAAGGACCATACAATCAAAGTGGAAGCGTGCAGACCTCTTCCCAAGTGTCATCTCAAATGCCTAGAACTTTGGATAAAGACAGAAAGCAGATGCAGTCCTGGTCTTTCCCGTTAATCCTCTCCATGGCAGTTGAGTATCTCCAGGGGATGTGCAATTCTTGGAAAGATTTAAAACTCTATACTAGACATTTTTATTCTGTGCAAACTTTTAGGTGCCTTGATTGTGAACAAAAACATAATGAAAAGATTTGAATGTGCTCTTGCCTTGTCTCTACTGCCTTAACTGCCTAATTATATCCCCATTTATAACACTTGTGGTCATATCCATAAACAGCTCACTTATCTCAACCATTTTGCAATTCTTGCCTGTACTCTGACACACATGCTATAAAAAAATGTCTAAGGAAGCAACAATGTTTTTTTTAAAGAAACAACAACCGTTTTTAATGCTGTCTTCAGCTTTCTTTTCTTTTTTCATCTAGAAGAAAAACTTACCAAGACTTTTGAGGAAGCCACAAAGCCTCCTAGCCGCTTCTGTTACTGAGAGATTGAATTTAGCAGCAAAATAAGGCAAAGACTGAGGACATATAGACACTGCCAATACTTTATGTTTTGAGGTATCACACTTCTGGAAAGCAAAATAAAACACATGGGTGTGTTAAGTGCAAACATTTAGAGACTAGCTTACATAAGAGATGGCTTTCTTACATCAAGCATGTTGCTTCATACAGAAATTAATTTGGCATATTACATCTGATACCAATTCTTACTAAAGCAAATTAACCTCTGAGTTAGAATGAGATAAAAACAAAACATCCCCATAATAATAAATAGCCAAATCAGGACAATATGACATATAATACAACAAAAATAATAATAGAAAACAAATAAAAATCCCAGCAATGGAAGGTGTGTATCATAAAACATTCAGAAGATTCATTTACAATTAAAAGCTTGCTTACAAATTCACATTTAAAGACAGAAAACCATAGCAAAGAAAGCAGAAGAAAATGGGGTGAGGGTGGGGAATCAAAAAGTAAAGTAAGAATAGTTTTTGTTCTTTCCCCCAATCTTAAATAAACACTAATTTAACAAGGTTAATCAAATGAGCTTTCTGAATAGAGGTAGAGCCAAAGAAAAATTATATCCAATGTAGGGGAGGAAAGGAATTTTTGGGATTAGAAAAGGAAAGAGGGAGTAGAAGGTAGATTAATAGAAGCATGTGAGCATGGGTGTGCTGAATGGAAGACGGTAGGGCAGAGTACACAAATGAAAGGATTTGATTGGGTAACGCCCTTCACATTGCATGCAGGAAGAAAAAAGGATGCAGGGTAAAGGCTAAAAAGGAAAGCAAAATGGTGTGCAGTAGAAAGAGAGGAAAAGATATCAAATGAGATCAATTGTTCGTCTGTTCAATAACTCAGAAGGAAATAAGAGAAGCAGGATTTTGGCACTGAAATAAAAAGGTAGACTTTAGAATTATTCAAAATTTGATGCCAGGAGATTTAGTGGTAAACTGGATGGACATCCAAATCGTATGCCTAGGGAAAGGATGATTGTCATCGGCAACATTGTTTTTTTTTTAGCACTAAGAAGTCACTAATTAGAAGCAATGGGTTTGAAGAATTTTTAATGTAAGGAACAAGTAACAGATGTTTGGCTATAATATGAGTATGGAAAGAAGTACTGAAGAATTGAGAACAGCTTTTAAGAAAAGATCTCAGAGGATAAAATCTAAAAGTAGCAAACAGGGAAGGCAAAGTAAAGGAAACAAGAAGTTGGATGTACCACAATGTTTTAGAGTGACATGTTAGGGCAGAAAATGTCCTGGGCATGTATAAGCATAGAAACACCATCCCCTTTACCTTATTAAGGTTCAGTACACGGAAGAACTCATTTGGATTCTGCTGGTAAACTTTGACTGCTTCCTCGGCTGTAATGCAACTGTCACAAGCTAGGCAGTCACTAAGGAATATTTTTGCATTAGCCAACTTATGGAATTCACTTTTCTAGAAATGAATAAAGTTTTTAAAAACCCATTAAGAAAATGTAACAATGAAATAAAAAAGCAGTGCAGTTATTCTTGAAATAAGAAGTAATAAACGATTAAGTACCACACAATGGGTAAGTGTTCTGTCTTGTAACACTTGGATTATGAGGAGGCAGGCACAGCCCTTAATTAAAACTGTAGGTTCTCCAATTTTACTCCCTCCACTTTAATCAAATTTAGGTTCCCCCCAGCTTTTTTGGGGGGAAAGTGGCTGGTTGAGTGAAAAGCAAAGTGGAAAGATTTCATCCTGCTTTCACCTCTTCAGTTCAGTTCAGTTCAATTCAATCAATTCATACTCCACTGGTATGCAATTGGCTATCTCTGTTACCAATCCCTGTCTTGTCTCTGTGGCTTTTGTTTCCAGCCACTGCCAATCACCCGACTTCCTTCCAAAACTGCAAAGTTACACATGTTGAAGCTGACCTTGGAAAAGACCACTTTAACCCTGATACAGCAAAGGAGGATTTAACATTATCTCACAGTAGGCTAGGGAGAAGATCAAGGCCACATGCCAGAGCAAAGGAAGGCAAAAACTGTAGTTGGCATAAATTTGGGCCACTGCGAGAGGCAAGTGAGCAAAGGCAGCAAGAAAATATTTACACAGCTCACCTGGTCACATATTTCTCCACAACAGCAAATAGTTCTGTGAATGATATTTAGATTCTTAACAGTGAGCTTAGACTAATTCCTGTGACTTTAAAGATTCATTTACATTGAGAATTATGTGAAGTAATTAAGAAAGGTTATTTGTACTGCATTAAATATTGCTACTGGATTCTGGGTATGCTTCAGAGGTGGGTTCCTACCGGTTTGGCCCTGTTTGGCCGACCTGGGTCACTGGAACCAGCAGCAACCCAGGGCTGCCATGCCTCCGAACCAATTCCCCACTCGGTGCAGCTTGTTTTTTCCCCATTTTCAAATGTTCTGCGCATCCGCAGACCTATTTATGGGCAACTGTGCATGTGTGCAGAGTGTATGTCTGGTGCGTGAGTGAAACGAGCAAGTGCAAAATTGTGTGCACACTGAACCAGCAGTAATGCTGGCAGCAACCCATTCCTGGTATGCTTTTTTCCAAAGAGCTTCCTTTAAATGCAGAATAATTTCATTAATCTTTAGCGGGCCATTAGAGTGAAATGTAAGATTAGGAAAATGAGGATTGTAGCGTGATGGGAATACTTCAAAATTATATTTTTTTTAATACCCTGGCATTCAGAAATCTGAACAAGAAAAGCATGCTGGCTGCAAACCACAAGAATATGTTGCAACTAAATGCTGAAATTAATGGAGGAAAAGGGTTATCTTCAGTTCAGTCACCTTCAGAAATGCCTAGTCAGGATTAATTTAAACTGTCTGGGAAGCAATGCAATTCAGAGATCCATCTAAAAGGAATTTACCTCATTGTTTTCATCATTTGAATTGAGAACATCAACGGTTGCATTTTGTGGATCATCGTTCTTCTGTTTTTTACTACATTCCTGAAACATAGCACAAAACATAACTTGTTCAGAAACACTACAATCACTGATCTGGACCGGACCCTCACCACCCTCACCACCCTCCAGACCTTCCGCGCTGCACTTAAAATCTGGCTATCCCGGCTGGCCTGGGGTTAAAGACTCTAACCCCTACTCGAATTGTATGACTGTTGAGTTCTTAAATGATGTAGTGCTTTTATGTTGTAAACTGTTTGTCCTCCCCCCCCTTTTGAACTGTGAGCCGCCCTGAGTCCCCCCAGGGAAAAGGGCGGCATACAAATAAAGTGAAACTAAACTAAACTGATCAAAGCCACCTGAGGTAGAATAAAAGAGGATGAAAAAAAATGTCCACGGGATCACCCAATGGGAACTGTTATATCTAGCCAAACGTAACCAAACAATATATCTGGCTAATAATTTATATACTACTACTGATAAGGAAAGGTGCACTTAAGGCAATGATGCCATCAATTTGAACTTAAATTCTGGTACGTACGCAGATGCAACCTTGCACTTTTCCTGGCAACATCATGGTTTATTGCTGCCTTCTTCTGGAATGTTTTCTACAGGTCTGGAATTTAATAGAAGTCTCTCATCTAAGTACTAACTAAGTACTAACTTGACTGTACTTAGCTTCAGAGCAATCCACTGGAATAAAATAAAGGAATTGCTGCCATATCAGAGGGGGGTAACAGAAGGGGGGAAAAAATAAAAGGAGAAAATCCAGATGATGGGAAATTAGACTAAGTATTTTTCGGTCTCCAATGGCAGTAAATATGAAAACTGAGGTCTAGATCTAGTAACTCCAATATACAAGATTACCAGTTAGCAGCCACTATAGCAAAAGTCTCCTAAGGTCTTTGGGAGGTGGACAACTTGCTAATTTCAAACATGAAACTCCTTAGTTTCTGCCTTTGCCAAGTCACTAGCTAGCTCTCAGGACTGTCACAAAGGAAAAATTTAAAAAGTGGATATTACAGCTGGACATAAACGTCAAAAATGATTATTCCTGAAGTGTAAACTATGTTCAGAAACCTAAATGATTAAATAACTCATTACAAAAAAGAAAAAAGGACCAGTATAACTGAAAAGTTTTCAAGGGAAGGAAACACAAATGTATTTGTTCTGAAACCTCTACAAAAATGCATGTATAATATATCCACCATACACTAAGACACCTAAAGTAGTTGAAGTCAATGGACTTTGGCAACATTCTTTTTCTGTAAGAAATAGAATAAAAACATGTACCTTCTGGAATCAGGTTAGATTATCAGTATTTTGTTTTAATTACTACTCCCCTAGAATATTTTTCTGAATAATTCCTTACCCTAGTCAAATTAAATTCAGAGCAAATAACAATACTGACTACAACAGAAGTCTAAAAAAGAAAAGAAATGAAGCACTTTATATTGCCGTATACTTCCAAAAATATTCCTGTTGCTCTTGGTTCAAGTTCAATTAATGTTGTACATATAATTCTTGTTAAAAACATCTCAGAGTAACTGGAATGTATCATCCTTCTGTGTTTTAATATATTATTATATTAATATTATGGATTTATAATAATAACTGAACTCAAAGATCTATATTTGATGCAGCATTAATTGTTTTTAAGGGAAGCAATGAAAACACCCTGTGTGCTAGTTGTTTTCTATGGTATTTTTAATGATACAGAAACCACATTTCAAATTTGGTCTGTTGATTAATGTAACTTTTCCACTTTCATCCTGATAAATAAAACATAGTACACATTAACTATTTCTAATAACATGTCCCACTCACATAAGACAAAAAGAGGTTTAAGAAAGACAGGGGGAAAGAAGGGATTTTCTTAACAACCTGGACAAAATGATAAGACCCCATTCACACAAACGATGAGACTGTGAAGGAACAGCATTTGTGATAAGCTACAAGGAGTTAGAACTACAAAAAGAAAGGTGAGCATACAATATGCATAGAATTGAGCTTGTCCTCTCAACTCCTTCCCTCCCAATAAGAAAAAAGTCTCCAAATTTCTCCAAATAGTATTAACTATTAACTACATAGTCCTAACATCAAAAAGGACCATGTACTGTCCTGGTGAATTACAATACTGAACATTATAAAAGTGAAGAAGTTAACTCATGAAATTCATGAAAATTCTCAGGTTAAACAGCTAAAGCATTGATGCCATTTATTTCTTATTTATGCAGAAACTATAAATATACAGCAACTTCCTCTAAGCTGGTATCTCCCAAATCTTTCTATAATTTCCAGCCAGTATGACCGCACCAGCCAAAAACTATGTACATTGGAAGTCTAAAATTCTTGAAAGGTACAGTGTAGGGAAGACAGGTGAACAGAGTTGAAATGCAATATATTTGTTATCACTTCATGCTATAAATGCACATTTATACCTTTTTACCACTTTGAACATCATAGTAATGATAAGTAAAATGTTTCATAATAGTGTTGGTTTAAAATTATTCTCATCTCAGCCATCAATTATATATCTTTTCTCCAATTAATAAACCAGGTTTTGGAGATTAAAATAAAGTATTTTCTGTTCAGTCTGGATTCTGTTCAGACGTTTAATTATCACTACTGATTTCTTTCTGGATTGGAGGAACAATCACCACAAGAGCAGAAAGCTTCATGTTTATTTGCAAATATATTTCAGTAAGTTCCATTAGGCTTGTTTTCAAAAGACACATAAGTTTATTGTATGTTTATGTAAGAATGTATTAGATTTACATCACACCATTCTTTCAGGAGCTTAAAACAACATACTCAGTGCTCTCTCCTGTTTTCCCCCCCAGCATAACCACCTTGAGAAGGCTCAGAGAAAGTGCCTGACCACATGTTTTTTTGCCCAGTACTTGTGCATTGGGACTTGTAGCACGATATAAATAATAAAAATAAGACTCACCTTTTTGGTGCAATTTTCACACTTCATTGGTAGGTCTGTCTTTGGTACTTTTTATTTTGGCAAAATTGGGTCTCTCTTGAGTTGCTGCCAGGTGTACTCAGAAAAACGAGCCAGTGTTCCTGCTTTCCACCTGTCTGGAATAATGAAAAACAGCAGAAGAGCTGTAGAAGATTTCCCTCATTATTATTCCAGTTTTTCAGCCCTATTCTGCACTTTCTTTTCAATGAGACTTTCCAGAGCCAATAAGAAACTTCGAAGGAGGGAACCACCTGACTGCTCAGCTGCCAGTCCCATTTCTGCTGAAAAGTGGAAGTTTTTAATCCTCTCACTTTGCAGAACTAACAAAAACAGCAATTGCCTTCTCAACTCTCGTGATGTGGAAAATCTGTCAAACGAAAATACTTTTTATTTCCTGTCAATGATTAGCTCCAGGATACACAATTTTATTGCTCTGTATACACAAGCACATTTTGCTTCTTTGCTATGGGAACCCAAGCGAATGGTTGTTTTTACAGCCAGTTGCATTTTTCAAGCCCAGAGAAGAGAGGGCCAAAGGCAAAAAAGGGAGAACTTTTCCCCATCTTTTATTTAATAGTATATATCATCAATAACCATGAGATGAAATATGAAGTGGGAATGAGTGGCTTTCAAATTTCAGAAATGAAAACAGTATTGTACATAGAAAATGCCCGCAAGTCATTCTTGAATGTGGCACAGCAGTGGGATTCTCCTCCAAGAGACCAAAGCACAACACTGTCAGTTTCTTCTCAGCAGTTTGTGATATATACTATTAAATAAAAGATGGGGAAAAGTTCTCCCTTTTTTGCCTTTGGCCCTCTCTTCTNTTTTTCCTAAAAAAAAGCAAATAAAGTTCTCAAATATGGGCTCTGCTTGTGTTAATTTCATATAAAATAGTTTCAGAGCTTGTCCTAAGAGGGGGTTCTTTTGCCTTGTGCCGTAAATACAGCAGAGAAATCTGGCCGGAGGTATGATTCAGCTTTGGTATCTCTCCCCCCCGTTTGCAGCAGAAAAAAAAGCTGCAAGCTTCAAGGAAAGTTCTTACAGGCTGAGCCCCTCTCTGCAATCTTCTTGCCTGAAGGTTGAGATATCTAAATGATGTTTAATTAGATACGAACCAGAAATCTGGGAGCGGCTCGATTAAGCCGCTGCCGATGGCCAAGTCCCTCCCTGGAAGCCCGACTGTTGAGTTCTTAAATGGTGTAGTGCTTTTATGTTGTAAATTGTTTGTCCTTCCCCCCCCCCTTTTGAACTGTGAGCCGCCCTGAGTCCCCCCAGGGAAAAGGGCGGCATACAAATAAAGTGAAACTAAACTAAACCCCACCCCTTAATCTCTTGAGCCCAGAGTGGCCCCTATTTGCATTTTCCTCTTAAGCCAAAAGTCTTAAAATTCCCAAGTTTGGACACCCCTGATGTTAGGATGGAGGTGGATGGAATGAGCCTTAAGAGGGAGCGGGCAGTGGGAGTAGGAAGCTCAATCCCCAACAGCAAAGTTCTGTCCAGGGCACCAAAACCCGCTCTTACGCCTGTAAACAAGGATATACAAGCAAATCTGCAAAATTAGTGGAGTCCATCGAGCCACAATTGGCCTGTTTTGCAACGAAGGCATTTGTCCAGAAATGCTATGCGTTTTCATGCCTCTCTCTGCAGAAATATTTATACCTAATTATGAATGAATGAAGCCACTGGAGAAAATCAGGAATTAGGAAGGGCCTCACTGAGGATCAGCTGCTATTAAGAAACAATTATGGAGGTCAGGTGCATGTTTTGGGTGCTCTTTCCCCTTTGGGGTAGGAGATCACAGCAGCTGCAACACGAGGGGAATTTATTGGGCTTCAACACATGCTTTGCATCTTCCACTAGGCTGCTCTGCAGCTGAGCATCTCCAAGTCCACAGCAGGAATTGGGCTCAATCGCTCAGGCCCAAATTTAAACTGTGTTGGTTGATATAGTTGGTGACAAACACTAGCACATCATCATCATTCTTGATGGTTAGATATAATTCCTAGAGCAGCACATTTAGAGTAACTTGAGGACATGGCCAGGTGGCTAAATTGGGAGATTTCCTCTTAATTGATCTCATCTATTCTCTTTCGATTTATAGCACGGAAAAGGCACCTAAAAGCCAATTAAATACAATGAAGATGATTTCTTAAGAGAGCATTTTGATATCTCATCCTTTTCTGCACTTGGGCTACACAGGATAGTTTAGTTTAGTCCTTCAAAGGCTTTAAAAGCCCCGCTGTAGAAAAATTAAATTTAGATTGAAACATTTTGGTAAAATGCAAATTCCTAAAAAGGGAGATATTGGTAACAAAAAAACCCCTAGTTAGTTATTTCTAGAAACTTCTTTGATTCTCTCTTCTTAAACACATGAACTCTTCCCTTGGAACAAGGCGCCATTATCCAGGGCACTAACCCCCAGGCTGTGGCAAGCGAGCCATACTGCTCACATGGAACCATTCCCCCCCACACATCCACAAAACTGGAAAGGTTGGGGACCACTGATCTAGGGAAGAGCCATCTAAAACCAATAGACAATAGCCTGATTTTCTTGGTGGGCACTTCCTTCAGCACAAAACTTGCTTTATTACTGCTCACTGAAGTCAAAATTTTGGCACAGCACAGTTGAGCGTAAGAATTCCAACCCACTGATAGGATGGATGTTTCCCAAGAATGTGCGAGAGTCAATCTTAATATAAGAAGGATGGATGTTCCCAGAGTCAAGCCACAGACTTCCAAGAATTGTTCCTCTTTGTCTGTGCCTCTGTGTGTGTCTTCTGGTTTGTTGGGAAACCTCAGTCGGCAGCCAAGATGAGCCGTTATTGAGGGCATTAGGGTTAATTTTAGTTTATAATTTTGCTTTAGTGATTCTCAGCGATGCCCCAAATTATTATTCATATGTGATCAAAGAGAAGGAAAAAATTCCTTTGCTGTGTTACAGGTATGATTCTGGGGATCACTGCACAGAAAGTGAGAGAAGCAACCGAAAATTAGCTTTGAGGAGGACAGGAAGAGCTGATAAGAGATACAAAGGTAGCTTCATCGAAGGTCCAGCACCGTCACTTCTGCTTCCGTGACCGTCACATGGTTGCAAGTCTGAAAGAGAAAAAAGAAAACCATGACAGTTTGGAAGAAAGTAGAAACAGAATGAATGAATTCTCCCTCGAAGACACGGCTGTCTCGCCCTTTGCCTAAAAAGATGCTGTTTGCCCGCTCCGTAGATGCTGCCTTAGGCCTGACTTTCCGGACCCTTTTTGTCCAATTTTCAACATTTCCTTCCCAGAGAAAGTTGTTGAGAAGATGGTCATGCAGCAGCTCCAGAGAATCCTGGAAGCAGCAGATGATCTGGAGCCCTTTTGGTCTGTATTCAGGCCGGGGAGGAAGAAAAGCAGGGGCCGTGTCCTTCAGGCGGGATTGGAAAGGGCTTCTTAGCCTCTTGACAGCTTTGGATACCACCAACCATGGCGTCCTTCGCATTGGCTCCCGAGGCTGGAAGTGGGGCGGGGGGGATTGTGTTGTCCTGGTTCTCTTCTCTCCTCTGCAGCCAGTTCCAGTCAGTCAGTGGTGAGGAGGAAGAGGGTTGCCGTACTCCCCTTATTCTAATTTAACCACTATCCAAAGCCTCTGGGGAAGGTCGCTCAACAGCACTGGATGAGGCACGAAGACGACACCCAGCTTTGCATTTCCCTCCCAGACCCTCCAAGGGATGCTGTGGGGATCCTGCTTTGGCCTTTGGAGGCTTGGATGGGAAATAGCAGCTTCAGCTCAGCCCCAGAATGACTGAGGGCCTGGGGTGTTTAGGACCCCTGCTTCCAGGGACCTTCCAGCTCTTGTTCTGGATGGAGTGGGGCTGCCCCAAATATTCCTGGACTCGTGGCTTTTGTCTGAGGAAGTGGCAGCTGTGGCCAGCAGGGCCTTTGTGTAACTTGATGTAATGGGCCAGCTGCACCTGTTCCTAGACTGGGAGGTGCTCTGTTCAGAGACACGCATGATGTCTCTTGTGCAGCCTCTAGAAGCTAGAGCTGAAGCAGAGTGCAGAGGCCCAGCAGCTGTGTCTGCTTCTCCATCAGAACAGTTAACACCTCTGCTCTACCAGTTGAATTGGCTGCCACTGTTATCCCAGTTCCAATCTAAAGCACGGGGAGGACCTGCGGAATGGGATCTGGCAGGCCCAGGAAGAAGCCTCTGCGTCCCGGGGCCTGCCCTTTAGAACATCCCCATTGGGAGGGATTTGGTTGGCCCTCGCCCTACTGGGTTGGGGGCATGTCTTAAAAGACCCCCTTCTACCACTGGGCTTGGGGATATGGGTGCGTGCTGGAGCCTGTACAATGGTTGCACTGATGGTTGCTGGTGGTTTCTTTTACCTCAGTGCTTGATTGTGTAGCTTGGCTTTTATATTGCTTTTAGTTCTTTGGTGTTTTTTTAAAATGATGAGCTGCCCAAAGCCATGGGTAGGAGATGGGTAGCCACCTAATCTGACATAACAAATAAATAAATTGTGGCACACTTGTGGGTCCTAGAATTTAGAATTGGCTAAACATTTTATGAGACGCTTACCCAAGAGAGTGGGTGACTGTTTGTCCTCCTCACTGGCTGCCAAGTTCAGGCATATGCAACTTACTCTGAGATTTACTCCTTCATACTCAGAGAAGCAGACAGAAAATCAAACATGAAACAAAGAAAATATCAAAGTCAGGGGGAAGAGGATGCCTGGTGGTTGACCAGCTGTTGAAATGTATGTACGGTTGGCCCAGTTTAGCTCCAGATAAAATAATCTGAGATGTTTATTTACTGACATATCAGAGCTAGTTTCTTATTGCTATTGAGGGGGGGGGGCACTTCCTAAAAGCACTTTGATTTGGAGTCAAATCTACGGCCGTTGGACACATTTTTAGGAAGCTTTGGAGGTAGAAAATTTAGAGAGGAGGCTAGAAGAGATGGAAAAAGGTTGTTTTCTGACAGGAACGAGCTGAGAGCATTTTGCCATTAATATCCCACGGCTTTATTTATTTTGAAAATGTGTCAGGCTGTCCAACTCCACAACAACACTGAATGAAGTATAGTAAAAAGAACCAAATCCTACAACTAAGGGGAGAAACACCTCCTCCCAAACACCAGAAGAAGGGCAACTGTTAAGGCAGGATGGATTCGCCCCGCCTTCCGAGTCACGTCTGTGGAAAGACCTTCTCCCTGGACTTCCAGATGGAGCCTTGAGAAGCAGCTGCAATTGGAAGGGCCCAGCTTCTCTCAGCTACTTACAGTAAAGAGAGGAGGATCCTTGCAGTGGGGATGGAATCCTTTTTGTCTGCAGGAAGAGATCTCCTCCATCCCATGGTCTGTCAGTTTAAAGAATCCAGTCCTAAAAAAAAACAGTAATGGTGGACAGAATCAGCTGGCCCCAAACACTGCCAATGGCCTCGGGGCCAAGGATAGCATTGAGTTCAGAAGAAGAGAGGAGGAGAGCTGTACCTTGAAGAAACCACTCCAAAACTGAAAAAACCCCTTCTACCTACAAAACCACAACCCCGTTTATCTGCAATAGGGACCATTCTTTACACTTTGCCCTTCTGGGCTGCCAACCTTCTCGATTTCGGCTAAGTTTTCCCCAACAGGTAGACTGGAACAGAAATGGAATTTGCATAGGATTTGAACAAAACTAGGCTCACTAATGAGCTGCTTAAATTGAGCTGGGCTCCCTCTGAATCACAATCTTCCCCAACTTCATTAGTTATTCAGGGAGGCACAGAGTGCCTCTGAAATGTGGTGCTTGCCCCTTAAAGCAATAGGAATAGAATAGAGTACAGAAGAATAGGAATAGGGAATTGGAAAGGAATGGAATAGAGAATAGAATAATGAAAGAATAGAGAACAGAGAACAGAATATTAGAATAAATAGAATAGAATATTGGGAAGAATAGAATAAGATGGAATAGGAATAGAATAAAATAGGCAGAAGCAGGAACCAGAAAAGAAGAGAAAATAGAATAGAATAGAATAGAATAGAATAGAATAGAATAGGATTTTATTGGTCAAGTGTGATTGGATACACAAGGAATCTATTTCCGGTGCAGTAGCTCTCAGTATACATGCAAAGCAACAGAATCATTACCATCATCATCAATCATCCCAATAAGGTGGTAGGAAGTGAAGAAGATAATAACAAGGTTAAGTGGTAATAGTGCATACTATATGGGGAAATACACACAGACATTAGACAGCACTGAGAGAATTAGGAGTATGGTAGATTGATGGTGCAAAGGGAAAAACCTTCTGTGTCTGGTTGTTTTGGCATGCAGTGCCCTGTAGTGCCATCGCAAGAGGAGGAATTGAAACAGTTGGTGTCTAGGATGTGAGAGATCTGTAGTGCCAAATGCAACCCTGTGATCTGACTCAATCTCACAACCAGATTGAGAAATACACCATCCAGTAACTTACTCTTGATACTTCGGTGAACAAACGATAGCTATAGACTCTGCCAGCATCATTTGATAGGAGCAATGAGTGTGCAAATCCACACTGGAAAGGAAAGCCGTTTGAGTAGGATGAGTCTAAGGGAAGAAAAAGAACAGGGCAAATGTTAAAATGAAGCTAGAATCAGGGCATTTTTCCATTCTGTTTTTTAAAAGGTCGAACAATTTTCTTTCTTCTGTACTTTCTGGAGATAAGCATTTTTAAGCAGTGTTCCTTAATCTATTGCTGTTTTTTGTTCTCAAAAATATACTTTTGTGTACAATTCTGAGACACCTGGGCATTCCTGTTTACAGATAGCTTTCGTATATAGTGAGGGGAAAAGATCCAAATTGTGGAAAACATGAAGTTCTAGAAAGATGAACAAGGAAAGGCAGCTTTTGCAAGCTGTGATCAACATTCCCATAAGAGGACTCCTGAGTGGGGAGAAGCTGCAAGACTCACAGGAGTTTCCCCTACTTATGGGAACGTTGATCACAGCTTGCAGAAGTCCGCCTTTTCTTGTTCATCTTTCTAGAAGTTCATGCAAATGGCCTCTACTGGAAGACCCCCAGGCAATCTGGCTGGAGACCCTCCTCCCTTGAAGGAGAAGCTTCTGGGAGAGAAGACCAGGCCAGTCAAGACAGAGAGAGAGAAGCCCCTTGGGCCAGCACAGACACCCAGAAGAAGCGTCCAGGAAGAGGCTGTGCAGCCCCCAGGTTCTTCCTCTGCCCTGGAGCCATTCTCTCTGGGGGCATCAAGAGGCTCCTCCGTAGGCAGCTTTGGGAGCCTGGAAGGAGGCTTACGTGGATCCATCCCAAGGTGATCAGGCTGTTCTGGTCCTGGATGAGGAAGAGCTCCTCCTCACTCTCGGTGTTGCAGTAGTCGGGGCCTCCGTGCTGCTTAGGAACAATGACGTGGGTTATTGTGAATTCATTCCTCATCTGACGGGGGAGAGAAACAAGGCCAAGTGTCATTGGGGGCGGGGGGGATCAACAAATAGCTTTTTCAGATAAATGGTTGATAGGCAGGCATCCCCTAACACAGTGGTCCCCAACCTTTCCGGCTTTGCAGAGCAGCGAGGTAGGGGGACAGGAAACACTTCTGTGAGTGGCAGGCGCCTGCACATGTGTGTACACCTCCATTTATGTGAGGGGTGGGCACTTGAGTGCGCATGAGGTGCCATTTACAGGAACACTTCTGGACAAAAGGCTGTCCAGTCTCTTCTTAAAAACCTCCAGTGATGGAGCACCCACCACCTTGGAAAGCAAGCTGTTCCACCAATTGTCCCAACTGTGAGGAAATTTCTCCTTAATTCTCGGTTGGAACTCTATCAGCTTTGTTGCTCTTCTCTACATTCTTTCTAGAGTCTCAGCCTCTTTTTTGTATCTTGGTGTTTTCCCTGAACTTACAGGGCAAATTTCTTACCATTTGCAATTCACTCTGTGCCTAAATAAATTAGGAACTCCTGAATAATAATGTGTAATCATGAGTCAGACTTAAATTACAAAAATCCATTATGAAAGGCAACAGTTTCTAAAAGTAACAGGACCAAAATATAACCTTATATTCTGACTACTTGGGCCTGCTTCTGTCTCGTATCTTTGCAAACTCCCTTCAAAGATGAATGGTGAGACCTGCATTCCTGTTTAGGGGATTTCCAAAAAATCAAGTTATCATTTGGGAGAACTTTATGGATTTAGGATTTATGCCATCACCTTACCAGCTTCCCACAAAGGATCCCACACGTCTCCACACCTCTGGCTGTATTTGCATCTGCCAACTGCAGAAATTTATGGCACAGATCGCTGGAGACAACAATGTGGCGAAGACCATCTATAACTGCGCCTGGAAGGAAAGAGCAAAGTCACATGGTGGAAAAAGCGGAGTCCCAGCCTAGCCAGCCCCAATGTGCTGATTTGCCAGGTAAGAGACAATTTTGTTCCTCATAAGCTCCGCCTACCACCCAAAAGGCAGAGTCTAGCAGCCTCACTTGATATTTGTAAAACAGGGCACAGCAAACTCCTGCCAAAAATAATTATCTAACCTACAGCTGTGCTGGAAATCTTTTTCCAAAGTGGTTTTGTGCTATTTCCTGTGGTTTTTTTAAAACTGTTGATGGAGATCCTCCATCCTCCAGGTCACGGTTGTCCCAAAGGTGCTTTTTCAGGAGGCAATTGGATTTTCTGGTTTTTCTTTGCAGTTGTTTGTCTTTCAAAGTTTTTTTTTTCCAAAGTTTCTTTTTTAACTTTCAATAAAAGTAAAACTAATCTATTACAAAAACAGATCACTGCAGCTGCACCATCTACAACCTAGAAAATTGGCGGGGGGGG